CCCACCCACCCACACCCACCCACCCACCCACACCCACCCACCCACCCACCCACCCACACACACACACACACACACACACTGTGACACTGACACTGACACTGACACTGACACTGACACTGACTCACTGCAGCGAAGTTAGCCAGGTCAAGGGCTACGAGATGGTGCACCTCTTGGCGCCCTTGCCCTATGCGGCCGAAGCGGCCTGGCTCATGCTGCTGCTGTACATCAGCAAGGCAGGAAGTTGCGGCAGAGACGGATGGGGACGGCAGGTTGAGCAGTTGAGTCTGAACAGGTCCAAGAACAGGAAGGTGGAGCGACGCTTCCGACCGGGTTCCGGTCAGTGATGTGACCTGGCCTTTGAAATACTCTCGGCGTGTGCAGCTCTTGAAGAGCGCTTTTGGGTCTCTAAGCCGAACGCAATACACAAAAAAAGAGACGTCGCTCCCAGAGGTACATCGACGTCTTCGGCTGGATCAAACGAGCCCGCGCTCAGAAGGAGGGCCAGGCCAGACGGGACCAGACGGGACATGGGGAATCTCCCTGGGCAGATCTTTGTGGTCTTTCTTAGGCCAGCCCCTGGGAACCGCGGGTGTCCGAAGAGACACGCCGCCTCCCGTCCCCTGCAGAGGCTGCAGTGCCTGGGCAGCTACCTTCACCGAAAAAGAGAAGCATGCAGGGGTTCAGTGGGCTTTTTCCCTGGCAAGCAAGGTGCCTCAGCCGGGACGAGGTCCAGCACTGGATGCTGTACACTACGATGGCAGCATCTTGAAAGGCAACACCATGGCGGCGTTAGGATCGGGATTCGGAGCTTGCTCGTTGTATTGGTTGACTTGGCTGTATTCTTTGGAATATTCTGCAGGGTCATGAGTCTGAAGCGAACGGCCGAGTGCCGTCGGTTTTGAGATCTGAGGGTATTTGGGGGCGGTGTTGAAGAACTTGACGGGCAAACATTGGACGGCTTGCAAGATCCGTTTCCTGATTGTCGTGCCCTTGCCGGAAGAGTCCGCCTGCCACCAAGAAGCGAAACCACATTTAACAACTGTCGCAGGCCCAGCTCCGCGGCGGCCAGAGCTGCTGCCAGGCAATGCGAGGGGCAAGTGGCAAACCTTGATCATCTGCTCAGTATACAATACATTATGTGCATGAGATCCCATATATCATATGTTACATGCTGTATATCACATACCGTATCATCATGTGATCATGACATACATTTTACACTATGCATACATGTCATATATAAACATAGATGTAGATATAGGCATAGATATAGGTACGTCTAGCGATACAGATCTAGATATCGATAGGTACCATCTACCATACGACTGAGATCATACACTAAATATCATACACCGCATATCACATATCATATGTCCTATGTCTCATTTCACATCTCCCTCGTCCGGGAAGTGTTGCCCGCAACCTTTGGCTTCACTCCGCCACTCCGAAGCGACACTGATTGTGGACCTGTCTGCAGCAGGGATGGCTGAGATTTTGCCATTTCACCTTACACAGGAAATGCGTGCGGTGAGTGAGCATCCGGATGTGCAGGGGCTAGATCTGTTGGGAAGCGTGCTATGGCATTTTGGCGCCTCGCCACGCGCTGCTCGTCGTCATGCTGTTGGTTCTTGTTGATTGTTTGTTTCGTTGTGTTGCTGTGTCTGGCTCTTTAGGCCTTGCGCCGGAGGAGATGCGTTTTTTTGTTAGGCCAGGCTCGTGACTGGGTCGACGCTCACCTCACCTCACCTCACCGCCCCGCGCCCACACCTCACACCCCACGCGATGCGCCGCGCCGCGCCGCTCACCGCACCGCACCTCACCTCACCTCTGGCATATCATGTACAACATAAGCATCGATCATGTTTTCAGATATCAGATAACCGGGTGTTATATCGAATCTTCAATATACCCATGTCATGTTATATATGCCACATGCCATATACCATGTAACATTTTTCACGTGTCATCTGTCATATGTCATGAACCATCTACCAAAGTAGTGCAGGTTATGCTATCCTATCCTATCCTATCCTCTACTAATCTATTCCGTTGTGTTCTGTTCTAGTGCTAGACTAGACTAGACTACACTACATTATGCTATACTGTGCTTTACAGCACGAAACGGTCGATACTACACTATATGGTGCTGTACGGTACTGTGCTATGCTTAGTTAATATTTAGCTCTATCATGTGTATTATGTTTATTATGTTATATTATGCTATATCATGCTATATCATGCTATATCAGGTTGTACCATGTTGTATCATGCTATATTCTGTTAATGCTATGTTATAAAACGTATGTTGCAATGTGCTACACACTGCTATCCAAAACCACACGATATAACATGTCAGTTTGCTAAGTTGTTGTTAATGTGCCATACCATGTCTCAGTATGTTACATTGATTTGGCGATGGATCGTACAGTGATTGGATGGAACATTTTTGCACGGTTTCTGATGCTGCGGCGCCCTACACGCTGATGCTTGATTGTTTCTAGCAGGCGCTGCCAAGCCTCCTCCAGAGACCTTAGCCACTAAAGTGACCCGGCGAATTCAGATACAGGTGGTAGGACCTTCTGACATAGGAAGGTGATGCCCTGTTCTCCTCCTGATCGTTGAGTGATTCGGGCTGGCAGTGTTTTCCTTTGCTGTACTGCTAGGACTGGTTTGCAAGTGAGCGAAGGTAAAGTATCATGGAATCGAGCCGAGGAAATGTTCGATCCGACAACTTTTGTCCCGAGGGAGAAGGACAGAAACGGCATGCATCGAGTAGCATTGCGATGTTGCTTGTGCTTGCAGCCCGAAGCCCCTTCGGCAGGATGGACAGCATGCGAATCACGCAGAGGACTGCGTGCTGAGACGATTCAATCCAGGCGGTGCATGGACTCCTGTTTGGATTCGTCCAGGGGGCTTCGTTCAGGACATCCACCCTTACCTGAAGCCGGGTGTAGTGCCCTGGAGAATCTTCTGCTCAGCGACCACGTTGCCGCTTGGCTTGTGGCTTGATGCATGCGAAGCTGGCTGATGTCATGCTCGTGTTGAAGTTGGAAAGCGAACTGAGGCTTCTGGTCCTCTGGTGGATCTCCGGAGTGCTTGTCCTGCTTCAGGCAGCGGAAGCTCATTGCAGATCATAGACGTGCAGAGAGATCCCGATGCCGACATATGCACCCATGCCCATGCGAGTCTTCTGGATGGTCTGCGCTGCGCGTCTCGCCGCTTCTCCATGACTCGGAGGTGCAGGGTTGGTGACCTCGTGGTACGAGACACATCAGTAGCAGGTAGACGAGATGGAAATCGTTGTGGGCTTCCGAAATCGTGAGATCCGCGCAGCCAGTAAGTCCTCTTCGATGAAGTTGCAATCTCTAAGTCTTGCTACGTCATTGCAGGGCAGAGCGGTGGTATGCAGCATGTGCACTCGGACCACAGGAGGGGCCTGCGCCAATCGAGCAAACGCAGACGGCATCCTTTTTGTCTCGTGGCTCGAAAACTCACCAGCTTCCGTTGGAGCTGTGGGCTTAGTTGGCGATTCGAGTGCCTGCAACTATGAGGCTGGAAGAGGTCAGAATCCAGCCAAATCCCATTGCTGAGTCCTTGCATGGAGATGCATGGCAGAAAATAATTCCTTGGAAAGCTCTTTCTCTGTTTGCCTCTTTCGCCCTCCCGCCTCTCTGCATCCCTTGCTGAAACTGACAAGGAGCACGTCGCCACATTCTGGCCTCCAGGAGCCTCTCCGAGGCGGTTTTAGCGGCATTCGCTACGCTCCGGGTCGCTTTGCGGCTGTTGCGAGGCACCTCTCCTGTGCATCGGCAGATGGAGCCGTGCGCTTCGCCGCCAGCAGTCGGTTCGGCCTTTTCGAGGCCTCGCGGTCGCGAGCATGCACTGCAGATATCGCATCTGTCGCTAGGCAACGCTGAACACTGGCCTGCACCTCGACGGCACTGCCATTGAAACTGAGAGGCTTGGATGAGGGGTCGCAATATTCAGCTCGTCCCACGGCGAGGAAGAGCAATGCCAGCAACCCCGGCAACTCCAGCGCCGAATTCCATTTCGCTCCTGTCTGTGATGATTTGGAAGCCTGGGCAGCAGATTGACGATTCAGCATGATTCCAGCTTGAGTTTACCGTTGAGAGATGTTGAGAGGTGCGCACGTGCTGATGTGCATAAGGAGAGATTCTCTTAGCCGGGTTCGACTGCGTTAGTTCTTGTGCTGGCTCTCTGCATCCGAGGAAGGTGAGGCGCTGCAGGAGACGGTGTATTGTCAGGGTCCGGGAGAACGAGGGAGACGGTTTTTCACGTAAACAGGCAGGGAGCGTGCTGTCTGAAAGGACCTCAGCCTGTTATGCAGTGGCCACGACTGCCACGCGCAGGCCCTTGAAAGAGGGGTGCAGAGACGTGTTGTGCAGTGACGACCGTTCAGTTGCCAGGTGCTGCACCGCCAAGGCCAGCGCCTGGCGAGTTGTGCACTGGGCGCCGCGGCTCGGGCTCCGGAGGCCGTGGTCGGGGCATGTCGGGGCCAACATCCCAAGCAAAATCCCGATCCTGAGCGTCCTGAGTTGTCAGGCTGTGATGTCACTGGGTGACACCTGGCTGGGTCAGGGAGATGCAGCCCGCGACGAGTCCCAGGAGGAGGCATCGGGAATTTCAGCACGGCGATTTCATCAAGCTTTTCTTGGGCAAGGCTTGAGGCCTCTCGCGGACTGGTCATGTGAGAAACATAGCCGGTATGTGTGCCGTGACGAAGATTGCAGGGGATCGTGACCGTACACGACAGGTTTCATCCCTCGCCATGATGGATCGCTGCATTAGCGGTGCCTGGATCGCACTGTGAAGTTTCCAGTACCCCGCACTCCGAACCTGACACCTCAAGAACAGCTCAACTCGTGGGCGTGCAGCCTCCCAGGTTCAGAGCGTTGCGCCTACGCAGAGACCACGGGTGGGCGTCTGGTGGAGCTCAAGTCTGGACTGGTGCAAGGTGGTCCGGGCATGGGTCACGGCGGGGAGGGAGTCAGGGTAATTGGGGCGGGTCTCTCCGATCTTTACCTCCGCAAGGCTCTGTGGACTGGTTGCCGACCCGAGTTCTTCTAGCAGATGTTGGTCGTGCAGCGATGCGGAAAGGACCGAGCAGGGTTGATTGTGTCAGAGAAGCATGTGCAGGGGCGAATTGAGTCCGTGTGTATACAAGCATGTTTACCATGCCAAAACGCACAGGCATAAACATAGCCATACGAGAGAGATGTGCAAGCGCAGGCAACCACTCAAGACTCGAACCGCAGGCGCCGCTCTCCACACGCTTGGCGACCGCTATTTAGCAATGCGTCTTGCCAGCACCACTCGCTCAACGTCGCTGCCATGTCTTCTTTTTGGTAAAGTTGTGTTCTCGTGCATTCGAGTTATTTCTCGGAGCCAGGTTGGTGACTGGAGGGAGGGAGCTGCGCGTCTTCGACCTCCGCCAGTCAGGCATGGAGTGAGTGTATTGAAGCAGGTATCTAGCCAGGTATCGCATCGGGGCTCATGGGGCAGACTTGCACTAGCTTCGTGACCTGGCCTGCCGTGGCTTGGACACTCTCAATCTCAGTCCCAATCTCAATATGAGTCTCAATATCAAGCTCGCTCGCTCGTTCGCTGCTCGTGCTCGCTCTCGCTCTTGCTCTCTCTCTCTNNTCTCTCTCTCTCTCTCTCTGCCTGCGTCAATCCACGTTGATCTGTGAGGCAAGATGGTGCAGAGATATCCTCTGCCAGCGCAGAAGCAGTGGAGCTCCATGTGCAGTGCGGGCAGCAACCTCTATCTGCTATCAGAGGTGCCTGGCTTGTGGTGTGATATGGAGTTTACAGAGTTGCACCTGCTCAACATTAAGCTTAAACGCAGAGGACCGGGCAGAGGCCGCGCAGATCTTCCGCTTCCCGCTCCCACAGTCCTTATTGCCTCCTGCACAAACGAAGCCAGCTGTGCTTTCGGAGAAGGCCGGGATTATGGGCCATCAGGGTTTTGAAGGTTGGCGTCCTTCTTCCGGTTTCTTTGATGTTGATGCAGTCGGCAGGTGTGTGGGAGCGGCGCGGGTACATGAGTTTGTTTTGAGGTGTGCAGGATGTAAAGACAACGGGCTCAAACAAAGCCGTTGTCTTTTCAGAGGTCAAAGCTGCACCGACGCAGCCTCCAATGACCTTGGCATCCGCATACACGCAGCCCAAGGAGGCAATCGGAGAAGATCTTGTGGCTTGCGCTGCCTTCCAGAATAGTGAGAAAGAACACGGAAGTCTGTCAGCGTGCTTGGTTGGATTTGAGTCTTGAGGAGCTATTGGAGAATGCCAAAGCAAGCGATGTGTTCGGTGCAACCTGGCTGACATCTGTGAAGGACATGAAGATGTCGGGGTTAGATATTCCCAAGCATTTGTGAGAAGGCGTCATGGACCGTAGCAAAGCTTCAGGGACTGCTTCGGCAACATGAGATTATGCCGGTGTCACAAGCTTAGCCCTAGGTAGCAGCATCATGCAGACACCATGATAGCGTTGCTTGAGTTTAACATACAACTACATATATATATATGTGTGTATATTTAGCTATCTATCTATTTGTATTGCTTGCCCAGACCGTGCCACTCTTCGCGGCAAAGCGAGTTGCCTTGCAACAGCAGCAGGACCGCGGGGCCTAGCGTATCAGAGGGGCTCTGACCTGTGGTGAATCCTGATCTTTTTGAAAGCCGGAGGATCTACTACACGATGTCATGTTTCAGCGATGCATACTCTCGACATTTCGCACTAAGTCACAATCCCGGCACCCAACAAGGACGCATCGAACAGCTCTGCGGTGACGTCCAAGATGCGCCTGAAGACGGCCAAGGCTACAGCACCTCTGAGAAAGTCGTAGACTCACGACGTGTCGAACTCTTACTTACGCAGGCTGTACTCACCATGGACAGGTATGTGTGTTGTAGTCTGTTGAGCACAGGCCGACACCGCCGCTGCAGATTCACAGGCCTTGCTTGTCTGCATGCCTTCGGCAACAGGACTGCGTCTGTGCCTGTCCGTCCGTCCGTCCGGCGGGCTGTCTGTCTGTCTGTCTGTCTGTCTTCCACAGTCAGCCAACAGGTCACTTGGCTTTTGCGCAGTGCTATGCCGCCCATCTGAATCGTTCTTCAGCCCCATCGACAGCAACGTTTTACCCCGAATACCCAAACAATCCTTCCCCCATCCAGTGTACTGGAGAACAGGTGCAGCAATCGTACCGTAACATGCCCAATCCCAAGAACCAAGACAGGCATTGCGCAGGCAACACCTACCACCCACAGAATCTGCTATGGCACTACTGCTACAATGTTCCCACTGCATCTGGCGCAAAATCCCAACTGGCACCACACAGACGGCTGGATCTTCACCCACTACATCGCTGACACATCACCCGGTTCCACGACGATCCATGCTGCAACTGGAACAGGTGTCTTTGCAGGCGTCTATGCATGTATGGCTTTCATTCCTGGTCCTGAGTCTGTAGCCAGCCAGCCAGCCAAGCCACCCATCCACCCATCCATCCACCGACGGATGCGAGTATGCATACACGAATGCATGCACTCGCTCACTCACTCTGTGTGCGTATATGTATGTATGTACATTTATATGTATGTGTTGTTTTAGTGTGTACGAGGTTTGTATTTTTCTGCCGCATAGCCTGGAAGAGGAATGCAAGCACGATTCAAACTCCGGCTGCTCAAAGTCAAAGCCTCCCTTCTGCAGAGCTCCGAATGCATGAAGGTGATGCACTCCAACACCACCAGCTCCGAGCATGCCGCGGCCCCATTGCATCCGGCACATGTGTTAGGCCCATGATCGAAAGCTTAGCCAGCTCGGAGAGCTTTGACCAGAGATAGCACATTGGTTTCTGGCGAATGCAACCTAAGAACATCTGATGCAATCCACCTCAGGCCGTGCCAATCTTCGCCGCGAAGCGTGTGTCTTCGGAAGCTTCGGCCGCCTGTTTAACTTGAGGGGTTGAGAGTCTGACGCGGTCGACGTGACGTTATTTTATGATCACCCCCTTTGCAGCATTGAAGGCGGCAGCGCACTCTCTGCATTCTTGGGAGGGTCCTGAACTCGATCTGAGGCAGCCGCCCCGAGCAGTAAGCCGTCCGCGGCTGCCGAGCCTTTGCGCGAGCGACGCGCGGCAACTCGGATCGCGACTTTCAGCGGTGCGGCCTTCTCTTTTCGAATGCTGTTCCTCACCGAATCCTGTTTGCCACGGTCCGTAAGCTTGGGGAACAGGACTTTGCGGGAGTCGCAGGTGCCAAGTGCATGGCTTGCCTCTCGCCCTGTCCCACTACAGAGGTTCGCAAGTCTGCAACAGCAGGCAAAGGTGTTCTGAGTGCGCATGGCTAGATTGGCTAGATGCTGATGGCCCGAACAGGGTAGGCTGCAATGCTTGTCAGCATGTTTCGCTTCGTGAAGGACTTGATTTACATTTCGCTCAATGCAGATCCCTGTTGTGCAGTGTGTGGCCATCTAGCAAACTTGCCGTGCGAAGACTGCAACAGTCTTTCGCCAGACGAAGTGGAGCTCCAACCCCGGCCTGCAAATGACAAAAGAAAAAGTGTTGCATGAATGGCAAGACCGGGGATGCAGCGTGCTAAGCTCGACGGCTCAAAAACGACGGAGAGGCAACATCTCGTTACCTGTGGTTCACACACTTCTATACACACACCTGCTTCTCTGCTTCATGCTTGGAACGCTAATGCGTGCAAGCATGATGAATCACGAGGTGGCCTCTAGAGTCTCTAGAGACTGAAGAATTTCCGTTTCTCCTGCCCTGAGCCACTACCGGGAAGATCTGAGATGCACGCCCATGAAAGCGCGAGGGCTCTGATGGCAGTGAGCAGGAGCATTCCCAGATCCGCAAGCCAGAGTCAGAGTTATTTCACGATTATGCTAAGGCGTGAAAAGCGTCGACGAAAGCAGCAGCAGCAAGTCGTGAACAAGAATAGAAAGGCTCGTATCGTCTTTATCTCTTTAGTTTGTGCTTTGCTATGCCTGTGAATTGTTTTGGTCACACGATCAGGCCCGCATAAAAAAGCCGTCACTGCTGCTGCCTGTTGCCTCATCTCTGAACGACAGGCAGGTGAAGGTGGTGTCGGAGGACAGAGACGCTTGGAGAAAACTGGTCTCGTGACGTCCTGCCTCAGTCGCGCACAGAAGCCAACAAGGGTTTCAAGGTGACAACTATAACTGCACATCAGGTCGATAACTGCAATCAGCTGTTCTTGTAGCTGTGCGTTTTTCTTCGGGCATGTGGTGCTGGCTTTCTCTTGAGCAGCTCAGGTATGTTCTGGGATGGCTTCCAGTGGGTGCCCCGAGCAGATACAGGCTGCGTCTGAAGATGGACCGGTCTTCATATATGCATATACGTGTTAGTAAGCTGCTGCACGCCTTCCACTTGCTCGGCTGTGTAGTGGAATCTGCAACTATTCAGGCATCGCAAACGACGTCAATGCATCCCGCAAGAATCGTCGTTTATATCTGGGTGCTGACCTCAGAAGTTAAGCGGAAGTCCAGCCGTCTAAAACACTTCGTGCCAGCCAGCTGGAGCTTGTTGGCTGAGGCAATCTTCCGTACCACCTGGGTGTCACAGAGGTGCGGAGCTCGCAAGCAAAGCCAGGTTAAAAGACTTCAGGCTTGCATGAATTCCACAGGACTCCTTCTCGAAGCAGCTGTACGAGACGATGCGCGACCGCGGCATGTGCAACGATCCGAATCAGAATCCCGCCCTTGGCTCAGTTCTTGCAGCCCCGCTTAGGCTCAAGGCTTCAAGGTATGTCCGCATCGCGAAAAAGTTTTGCTCTGAGAGCGGATTGCCACCAATGGCGTTTTGCCGGCTTAGGTGCTGCACGTCTGGTTCGCCCGAGACAAGGGCGCGAACTACGGCTTTTGCGAGGTTGCGTCACAAGAGGCGGAACCAGTCTCAAAGCCTTGTGCATATGGGCCGAATCATCAAATTGGAAAGCTCTGTTTTGATGCGTAAGAGCTTTGGGGTCTTGCTTGTGCAGGAGACAGAGCGTGCACTCCAGCTGGACGGTATGCTGGTCCTAGGCTAGGATCATTGAGCAGAACTAGAGTTGTAGAGAATGGTATGCGCCTTTCTGTGCAATGCCAGGAGTGCCGGTCTCTATCAAGCGACCCAACGACGCCGTGGAGTACTAAGCAAGTCAGGCCAGAGATTCGCATAGGCGGAAGACCGTCCATCCTGAGGTCAGTCCACTGGGCATGATCGGTGGTGTTCCGGTGGGCATGCAAGTTCCAGGCCTGGGGCGTGTGGGGCGGCGAACGCTTTGCAACCAAGTGCCGGCTCAGCTCGGTTGCAAGGCCAGCAGGCCAGCATGCTGGCGCTGCCCAGCGCACAGGCCGGCAGCGTCTGCCAACGGAACCACTCTAGCGTCGCGCGGCTGGCTCATTCTAGAGCCTGCGAAGACAGGTGAGTGCCACGAGCCCCATCATCCGGATCGACGAGATCCTCAAGGTGGACGAGAAGACGACCGAGGTAGGCAAAGTCACTTGCATAGGAGGGGCTCCCGCCTTGTCCTGCCATGCCATGGCGTTGTGAGGACGACTACAACGACGTCAAGGAGGACATGCAGGAAGGCTGCGGTGCCCATGGTAAGCTGGTTATGGCTCTTGGTCTGCACTGGAAAGGGCCCCAATCCTCGCACTTGCAAATGTGTTCATTGAGGCTCTTGGCACTGAATTGCGGCTCTTGTTCGAGACACGGTGACTTGACGCTCAGGTGGCCATCGTGAAGCCAGCACATGCCAGTGGCAATGCCACTCTGAAACCAGGCCTTGAACACTCCGGATTCAGGTATCCGGCACTCGTAAACCAAGTCACACTTCCTTGGTGAGCGTGAACAGCACACAGCATCTCTCAGGCAGTGCATTGTCGTGACTTGAAGCTTGTGAGCTACATTTGCCATCAGTTTGGATTCGAGTTTATTCAATCAGGCCTCATTTTTCTCTGCCACGCCTGATCTCCGGAAGAAGCAAGCGGCACTGGCATCCTGACAGCGACACTGTGCCTCTGGTCGAGGCGACGTCTACCTGCAGTGCTCCACGACCGATGATGCCACGAAGATCATGAGGGCCATGGGCCACCGAAAATACGATGGCAGGCGGGCCCGCGCTCAAATCCTTGTTTGAAGCCTACGGCTACTGTGCGATCGGCGAAGACAATTTTCCTCTGCGACATACGGCTCTCGTGGGTTTGGCAGCAGCTACTGTACTACCTGCACCAGCGGAATGCACGACACGTCTACTCTTTCCACAGATCAAGTCATGTTTAGTTTACAGAGTGCGATTGCGAATAGAGAGAGGGATGAGACACGGCCTCTAGTTGTCCTGTCACCACTCCTTGCACCTCTCGGCAGGCAGATTTCGATGACTTCCTACGAAGAGAGAAGCTTGTCTCAATCTGGACTACTGGCACAGTTTTTCGGGGCATGACAGCTGCAAAGGTGCACCAGGGAGAAGGTACCAACACCGGTTTTGAAGATATTGCCTATTGTTATCAAGCAGGTTGCCAATGAGGTCCGTGTTGGAGGGGCATGCTTCAATCGAAAGTTTGCCCGGCATTGCAACTGAGGTAAGTTCAACTCTGAGATCAAGCCGTTATTCTGACGTCGTTTACGCGCAGTGATGATTCCCTCACTCCCACCGTCGAATATAGAGGCTCTAAGACTGTTCACGCAGTGCTCCAAATATGCAAGATGTGTTAGGTGGAGGTGTTGCTCTGCCGTATGCGGATGCACTAAGAGGGCTTGGCGTTTCTGGGATGCAAAATGCAGAACCCGACGGTGGCGTGGGCTCCTGTAGAGTCATATGAAACAGCGCGGTTTTGTGAGAGCGAGCTGGTGCGCGCCCAGGGAAAGATGTGGCTACGCTCCGTCCCGTGCATGCTCATGTTTTGACTGTGCGAGGGCTCTATGGCCTGTGGCAGTTGCGGGCTTCTGGCTCAAGGTGACGAAGCTGTTGCTCTTGCGTCTTCTGAGAGACCTCGGTTTGTGCCCTTATGGTGGGCACGGGAAGCTCGGAAGTCTTCAAGAAGGCAACAATGTATCGTGAGGGCAGCGAAGCAGCCGTTCCCTACCAGCCAGCGATACAGCACAATGGAGTGCTCCCTTGCTCTCTGGGTGACGCCCTCTCAACTCTGGAAGCGAGGCTTGGAAGGTACGATCGCAATCTCCGACATTCATCCGAGACCTCGAAACCATACATTCCGTGATACATACTGGCCGGAGAAGCGATGACACAGTCTCTGAAGACAGCGCCGGTCGTGGTTCACTGAGAGTAGATGAGGCTGTTTGAGCTTCGACGCTGAGGACTGTTGCTCCCGAGGAGGTCTCACGGAAGTGCTTGGAAGTTGTGACTTCGATGATGCAGGAAGACCTTGGCTTTCGCCGTGGCTGCCTGGGCGGCTGCGGTATGTCCAATCGCAGCCGATGAAGTAGAAGTCTCTGTGTTTTCGCAGTGAGATTCACTGTGGTCACTGCTTTAGACAGCCTGCCGCTGCCGTGCTCGGGAAAATTGTCTCGCTATGTACGGCTAGGGGAGAGCGCGCAGGAAGCGAGTCGACAGCAGGCCGAGGAGCTTTAGGTCATGTCTTCTCAGGTCCATGGTCTCCGCGCTTACCTTCTGCCCGAACTTTTCGACGATAGTCACGGGGGAGGCTGAAGCGCAGGGATGGTGTTGGGGACGAAGTCATGCTTTGTTTTCCAGCTGGGCAGTGCAATCTGATCTTCAAAGATCGGATCAGGCAATGTTAAGAGAGTAGTGAGTAGTGATTATAGCAGCATGCAGCAGGCTCATGCGGCACTTAACAAAGCTTCGTTGTGAAACATCTGTAGAGCAGTCTTGCCCCGACTCCTCAGCCGAAGGTTCTGGTAGGCATCATTCGGGATGGGATGCTGGGATGTTTTGCGGATAGTGCAAGAGACTGCTTGGCAGTCGAGCTTCGGTCAACAGATTGAAGGTTTGTTCGGGGGTGCTTGAATTGAACGACCAGGTGGACATGACGCTCAAGGTACGCTGCTGGCTTGTCAAGATGTCGGGAACCCCCATTGGTTGGAGATTCTTGCTCTTCTTGGAGCTTCGCGATGACATGAGGGTGCCCCAACACCGGCCGCAGCCTTTTGCTTCGCTGATGCAGTAGATTCACTAGATGATGCAGTCACTAGCCGCACTGTCTTCAGAATGTACAACCACCTCCGTCAATTTTAGAGAGTTCCTTGCAGCCTTCCACATACTCGGAGGACCCTTCAGAAAGCGTCAGACCTCATCGGGGTTCTAAGCATCCGCAGATCAGAAGAACCAGTCGTTGCTGCCTCCGGCAGTCGGGCTCTTCTCTCTAATTTCGGATCTCAGCATGGCTGCAGATCGGCTTGCAACGGAGGCACCACGGCAGCAACGACTTCTAAGCGTGCATAGCCTAAGTCTCGCAGAATCTCAGAAGCTTCTTTGCTTTCTCAGCAAGGCTCGCAGCTTCGCGAGCTACCTCGCTTCGCACTTGGCCTTTGTTGAAGCTCGACCATTATAAGCTTTGCGGTTCAGTGTCGAAGTAAGAGGATATGGCGATTACCATGGGCATCCGTAGGGCCGCATACAAGAAGCCGTAGAGTGCAGAGCTCAAGCACGTCTCGGGCCTCCAAAATCCAGTTATCAAGCTTCCTTTGTTTCGCATAGCGACGATTACAGTTGGTCCTTGTAGAGCCTTTCGAGTCCTTACTAGGTGTGGCTACTCTGGGTGTTCACTCCCGATGAGCGGTGCCCTGACAGCACAAGTGCGGAAGCTGAGGCCAAGACACCCTTGCTGCAGAGGGTGTACTGTACTTTGCATGTTTTTGCGTTGCCGCATAGCGGGAAAAGGGCCGACGGAACACATAGCCTGTGAACATCCGGAACATTTTGCCCTCCGATCCGTCACCAACGCGAGGTTACAAAGTTGGGGCATCACCTACTATCCAGATCGGTGGTGGGGAGTGGCACTTCCCGTTTACGTGATTCCATTGGCTTCTTGGCAAGGAGGTCTCGCACATGGGACCCCTTTTGGGGTCTGATTGTCGTAAGACAGGCTCAGAATGTTTTGGCCAAAACGTCGGACCACCCCACAGCATGCACAGGCGCGAGTCGGTAGCTAGCTCGAGGCACCCGAGAATCAGCCGCCAGCCGGCCTAGCCCTCGAGCGCGGGCTCCAGATTCTAGCCAAAACCCAAAGAAGCATGAGGCCATCTTCGTGTTCCTGACCTACAATGCCTTGAACATGCTTTCGGCTTGCCCGCTGGACTCCGCCACTGGTCGAGGGTCGAGGGGTGGCCCAGGTGAACCTCCCATTTTTCCAAAGAAGCCAGGTCGACGGCATGAGAAACCCGGTGTTCGCGAGTGTTTCAATGCTGAATAGGGAAAGTTAAGTTGACATTGTCCGTTTTCCAGCGAAGGTGAACATGTACCGGGATGCCAGCACTCCCCTTACAGACGAGCTTTTCGCAACAGCTGGTGACATCCCCGACTTACAGGACCCCATTGAGGGCACGTGTTGTTTGCATGCGGCTCGGCATGTGCAGCACGCGTGAAGGCAGGCCGAGTCTTGAATGCCTCTAAGCCTTGCATGTCTCCAAGATTTGTATCTTCCCATGATGTCCCATGATGCTGGGTCTGTGCTGGTGCGAGGACGTGTCCCTCTCGACTGTGAACCGAAATACCGTCTTACAGCGATGCGGATCTATCCAAGCGAACTAACTCGACTCAGCGAAACGTGAAGGCATGGAGCCTGGCAACTTTGGCCAAGGTAGGTTGGCCGACATGTTGACGCCTGCTGCGATGCCTCTCTGCCGAGTTGCAGTTTTCGGACACTTTCCACCTGTTCCGCGTCGAGCACGTCCTCTTGGGCCGGATCTCGCTGCGATGTGCTCTTGAGCTGCTGAGGCTGTGGCTTCTAGCAGAGGGCTGCAAAGGCTCCTCATGGCTCCTGATTGCTCCTGCGCTGTGCCGTGACCCGGGGTTACGCTGTTGCGGCCTGCACATGCCCGTCGAGCTGAATGTGGAGCGAGGTTGTGGAAGGGACCGGGCTCTTCCACCAGGTGCTCTTGAAAGCATGCCCGCGATTGGGGCACATCCAAACCACGGAGCCTTGCAAGCGGGCCAGAGCGGTGACGAAAAGAAATGTGAGCCTGCAATTATAAGCCAAGCGCCCACCAAGATCCTCCTTGCATACTCGGTGTAACTCGGTCGATTGACTTTCCATTTCCCGAACGTCCCTTGCCAGTGCTACTCTCTGAGCCTCGACCTGGTGGAGTGCTTCCCACTCGAGCAGGCGTGCCGGGCTGTTTTGCATTGCTCACATGGGGACGGTTGTGAAGGGGAGGGTCCCTTTCAGGTGCCTATGAAAGTAGGACGCTCTGTCTTGACATTGGCATGGCAGCTGCCCTCCCGACCGCAGCAAGCGCTCCGCATTTTCACGGAAGACGCCTTGAACGGTAATAAGAAAATAAGGTGATGTGTACCAACTGTACAGTGACTGTACAACATACTTCATCATCTCCCTAAACATCCCTGAAACCCCCCGATCCCGGTCTCCTTTTCGCTTGAGTCGAAGCGCAGGAGCGGGCGGAGCTGCGAGGCGACGGGCGCGGAGAGCGCAAGGCGAAGGGAAAGAGCGGAAAGGCCGGCCATGGGCCACTGAGAACAGGAGCCCCAGGTTTGTGCGTATTGCGCCGGGCTTCGCCAGTTTTTGGCATCTTCTTGTGCGAATCTCTGCAAGTTTTTGTTGAAGGTCACGACCCTGGCCTACCTGCCGGCAGCTGGGAGCTTTGCCTGGGAGCCAAGGATGTAAGCCATGCGGGTAGGCAGCAGGTGAGCCACTCGCCCTCCGAAGCGTATGAAGCGCACAATGCTCAGATCCTCGCGGGCAGTGAGAGTGGCTGCGAGTTGCTGGGCACTCGAATTTACGAGCAGTCGTGCACGTGTTGGTCAGGCTTGGCCCAGCGCCAAGAATTTTTACCGGGCATGTCGAACCATGTCGGCCAGTACACCTGGCAGGAGTGTGGCTGCCAGGTTTGCACGTGTATTGCAGTGTTGGAGGCTCCGTCTGGCTCGCGGTTGACTTGTCTGTTGTTGATCAATTTTTGAGTTTGCTTGTTACCTGATGTCTCTGTCTTTTTGGTTGGCTTAATGCGCTCGCTGTAAGAGCCCTGAGATCAGGTGCCTGCAGCTCTGTACCTGTATCTGCACTGTGTGCCAAGGTGGCAGCTCACAAAGTCTCGAGAGCGTCGCATCAACACCTCACGCTTGAGGGGTTTGGAGTGCCCCGGCTCCGTATTTCAGAAATATGGCGAGCATAATCTTGTGATACCCATGCAAGCTGACGTTTGAAGGTGCTGAATAACCTACAGTCTTTGTTGACTTGCTGCGACCACCGCTCTCAACAGCAGCAGTGTTGTCCCTGGTGATGCCCTACACAAAACAGGGTGGGAGTCAGTCGCTGGTTCCGGTGTATGCACCACTGCAGGCCGCATCATTACTACTGGTAGTAGTTGCAGCTCAATCACTCGGTTTATCTCCCCTCACTACTGTGGAGTCTTACGTGAGTCAACAGCGAACTGCTGCATCATGCCGTCCCACTGCTGGAGGTATCACTTGCAGCTGAACTTGATCAAGCAGGCTTACATGGGAAAGCTACGAAAAGGGGTGTAATTGCATGCTCACAAGATACCTTCACACTGCAGTGCAAATGCAGGTTACCACTGAGCCCGTCCATCGCATCGTTGTGGCTGCTGAGCAAAGGCCGTGGCCAGACAAGAGCATGCATGGTGCCGCCGCCATATGCTAATTCCTGATGACATCGTTTTGCATCCTCCACAGCGCTTTGGGTGAGCTCAGAAGAGAAGCATGCATGAGACAGGGTGGTCATCGCAGAGTTGAAGACGGTGCTGGTACTAGACCATGAGGCAGCAACGCACCTCTTCTGCTGAGTTGGAGATAGGTTGCATGATGTTGCATGTGAAAAGTGGCATGCCTGGTGCCGTTGAAGTGCAATGTGCATGAAATGGGCAGTTCTGTTGCCTGTTCTTTGAGAATTCCTGAGGCATCACAGATGCGGTTGATAAGAAACGGTAAAGGGCAAGCTTCCCCAATGTTGTCTCTGAGCAGTTGACGGGCTCTTGCATGCTGTGCCAGTTGAACCTTATGGCCTCCTGCAATCAGCCTTTTGCCAGGAGCTTAATGCTTTCGAGAAGCTGGGGGCCTGCCTGTGGTAGCCTAGTCGCGTGTCGTAGGGTGCTGCACCGTCTGGCACCCGCTTCAGATCAGCAGAACGCGAGATGCGAATTGGAAGGAGGTTGGAAGCTTTCGGAAGAACAGATGCTGGATTCGGAGGTCTGCAGTGCCTACCTGGGCACGGTCTCCTCAAGCCAGGCCATCCGATGGAAGGCCTGGAGATGCAAAGGCATTTTGACTATCGAACAATGGCAGTGATGGCACGGCAGTGTAAGAGTTGCCCTTGTCCTCACTTTCTTAACTGCAAGGCGCAGCTACTGACAGGCCAGAGCCCCAAGGCTATGCACCAATTTCCAACTCCTCGCGACTAATGTGTGAGAAGGTCATAGAATCCCAGTGTCCAACCCTCGAGGGACTCCCAGCAGTCCAAGATGTCGCCTCAGCACGTTAAGGCACAAGCGGTGGCGCAGTGCAACTTTGGAACATTCAGGCAGGAGACAGAGCAAGTGCCGGCTGCGGAAGCGTTTCAGCGGTGTGAGTGTGTCGTTGGGCAAGGCCTTCGAGTCGCAACTCGGCGATCCAAGCGGTGACGGCCTTTTCACCAGGCCAGGCTCCATTGTCTCCACATGCCTACAGCTGATTGAGAGCTCAGTGTTGGAGGCTCGAGCACACTTTCAATGGGCACACACGGTCGGCTGCAACCTCAGAGAAAATCGGCGCAGCAGCCTGACAGCCTGACTGCCGAAGTACCGGCCAACTCCAGAGAAAGATTTTTCAACACAAGGGGCAGACCAGTGTGTGGAGAGACAGATTTTAGAACTGGTTCTGCCTGCAACAGTCTCCTGAAGAAGACTCCTGAGCCTTTGGGGAGTTTGAGGGATGCGCTCGCGAGCATAGCACGCACCCGGCCCAGCGATTTTGATGAGCTCCAAAGATCGAGCCATACTGCAGGTCGAGATGGTCTGCTTTTACGACCGGGACGAGCATGACGTACAGCAGCGTGCCTTGCTCAGCAGTAGGCGACGTCGTCAAGTTGTGATCGATGATGCAGCACATACACAGCATCTGCACCGATCCTGCCTGCTGGGGAGCAAGGCTTCGCTGTCTCCTGTGCACTGGACTTGAGATTGCAGGCTGGTCGAAGCATCATAGAATCAAGTTCGACGTGTGCCTGATTCTGGCCGATGAGCATTGACATGTCCATGTGAGATCGTGTGAGAGGTGTGGAGCATGGAGAATTTCGTGTGCGTGTACACCCTGTACTTCGGCCTGGCAGATTCCAAGGCCTTGATGTGCCTTGTAGAACTATTGCAGCTCTTCTGTTGCAGCTAAGAGAGTTCACGAATGGGGAGCAACAGTGGGCATCCGAAAGCATCCAACCTAGCTGTGCAATATGTTCGAATGGACGAGGCACATATTTTTCCAATCTCGCTGCACCACTTCGTCGTGGCCCCAAGCATTTCCCGCTAATCGTTCCTGAGTCCGATTCCCGACGTGGTTTGAGCTATCAGGGCGAGATCAGAACTGGCCAAGTTGTGCCATGATGCTTCTTCAGATTGTGTTTTGAATCAGGGGCGTCGAAGTAAGGCATCGTCGGTTCGAAGATCTGTGCCGTGCCTCCTAGGCCCTCAGCTACACGATTGGTGGCGGCAGCAACGGCGTTCCGTCCCAAGCTTGCACACATCTGGAGTGTCACAATTTTCTGTTAGGCAAAGCGGTGTGTGCACAGCGTCTTTGGCCTCTACTGCGACTCTTCGTCTCGGTGACCGGTTCGCATGTGGCAAGGACGGTGCTGCAGGGGCCAGTGTTGCGATGATGCGCTTCAACGTCCGGGCCTTCGGGTACACAGCTCTAGGCCTGTGGAGTAGTCCAGGTCTAGGTCACTTCGGGCCAGATAAGAGGGCTTGGAGTCTAGGGAGATCTTCGCGAGTCTCAGCCGCAGAATTGTCGAGTCAGACACGGAAACCCATGAAGACAGGGGCGCTGAGCCTGCAGGCCCGGACCACAGTTCAGAAGCTGAAGCGTGCCGGGCGGGCAAGCAACATCCTGGTGGGAAGATTCAACTGCTGAGTGCCCTGCCGACGAAACCCCCATCGACTCCCGACATCCAACCTTGAAGCCTGCCGCGTAAGCAACTCCCACCATGGTGGCATGGCTGCTGCGATCCTGGCGGCGGCCGCCCTCTTTCTCTGTCTGTTTCTGCCGCAGGCCAGTTTGGAGCTTGTCAGGATCCAGATTTGAGGAGGCTGAGTGGAGAGACCCACAGGAATCGGCGTTTCTGGCTGCGCGTCGCAGCAAGGAGAGAGGGGCTCACGACCGGAGCCTCGCTCGCCTGTCGCATAAACTGTCTGCGAGGAGCCGAGGCATCGGGCCGGGCCGCGGCGCGCTGCCGGGCAGGAGAGAGCTCAGTGGTGACTCGGCGCTGAGCTGTTGAGCTTGCATCTGGCCGCGAGCAGGACAGCTTCTTCGGCATCGAGGACGGGCGGGCTTTCTGGAATTTCGGGTGAAGGTACAGTGAAAGTGTGATGGCTTCTGCTTGAGTTCTGACAGTCAGCGTCGTGTTTCGCGTCTTGCCCTTCTTGCCCTGTGTATTTTGAGGCACACGTAGGCTGGTCACTTGCTGCGGTTATAAGTCATCATCAAAGCTTCTGCTGCACACCGGTGGCGGTCTTGGTGACAGAACCTTCATGTGCACTTCGGCGTGGCATGCCAATGACGGGAGAGTTGGGACCCTCGGACCAGACTGTCTGCTGGATCACCAGTGACTTCTGCTCGCCATTCGCAGGACACCCAGAAGACGCCGGAGGCAGGTGCCGGACTTGCATCTGGGAACCACCCGCTTGTATGAACCACCTGCTGCAAACGGTTCTTTCGTCCAGGATGTGTGGTCTCGATGGGACGCCAGTCTGCCGGATGCAGAGACGCTTGAGACCCTGGATGAGCTGCAGTTGTCGGAGGTGTGTACTCTGAGTTCTTGATGCACATATTCTGATCCAGTACGGTAGGAATGGAGAGGAGCTCTCCTCATGGAGGCCAGGGGAGCATCGGACGGATTACACGCGTTGTGCTGCAGAGTCGGACTGGCGAGGGGGACCGGGTTGTAGAATTCTGGAAGTCCTCCGAAGGCGCTGCGCTGGGCTGGCAGGGGCGACGCGTCTGGGCTTAACAGACACCGCAACTTACAGGTTTAAATGCGCACTGGCAAGCGGACTTTTTCGGATTGTGCATGAGCAGAACACTGACTGTGACGATGGCAGGCGGAGTGGCTACAACGCTGGGCCAGGGGGGCACTGCGCCAGCCGACTGTCCTTGAGGGGCAGGACAGCAGTGACTACCGACTACAACAAGCTGGTGAGTTCTAATCCAATCGGAGAAGAAGCGTCCACCTAGTTGCCTTGCCAGGAGCCGCCTGGCACAAGACCTTCAGGTGCGATGCGTGACATACTGAATTACCGTTCATGGCCACTTGACTGGAGTGTCCGTTCAGATATCGTACGCCTGGCGCTCCAGTGCCTTGCAGAGCTGCTGGCAAGCTGCGGGGAACGCAAGAAAGGTAAGCACAGTCTTGCGTTTTCGTGTGCTTTGAATGCAGAAAGATGGTGCATACAAGGAAGCCGGCAGGGCTTGCGCCGAAACGAGCTGCGAGCACTGGTCTGGTTCTTCGAGTTCGCCACCAAGGCCGGGCCCGAAGCCGCTCATCTCGACTCTCTCTCTCTCTCTCTCTCCGAAGCCTCCCTGTCGCTCTGGTCAGGACCAGAGCCAGCTCGGAGCCCTGCGTGCCAACGTCCACGAAGAGCTTCACGCAATGCATCCCTGTCGCAGTGGATGTGCAAGCAGCAAACAGTGGAGCGCCTTGGAAAGCCCAGGGATCGGCGCCCCTTCAAAATGGTGAAAGAGGGCGTTCCTGGAGGGGACTTGCCCATCTGCGTGGGAGATGTGCTGCAGCATGGCAGCACAAACCGGGCCGATGGGTGTAGGATGCCGTACTGCTGTTGCCACGAAGGACCCGTGTCCATGACTTCTGCGATGCTCTGGAGCTAGAGTGCCCCTGGCCACGAGATTTGGACAACCACTTGGATGTCCTTCTTTTCGTCACTCGCTGCAGAGACTGCGTTTTCGTTTCTTTTGGAGTGCTAGGGGGACATCCCTCTCCCTCTCCCTCTCCCTCT